TGAGAGGTTTTTTCGCTATAGGGCGCGTGCGCTCGCCAGACAGACAGAGAGAGACAGAGAGACAGAAAGAGAGAAATCACCCCCCAGGGAGGATGGCCACGCCGCAATCCCTTCTCCTCCATTCTCCTCTCGGGATCTTGGGCACGCACGCACATGCGCCCGGCGTGAGTTTAAGCCACCGGGTCCGGGACGCGAACCGTGGTCAACTACGTGGGAGTCCAGCGGCACAGCCATTATGCTAACTGCTGGTTCCCATCCCTTTTTCTTTTTTTAAAAGTTGTGAGAGGGCATGTGCTCCCACCAGACAGAGACCCAGAGAGGGCAGGAGAGAAAGCCCCTTCAGGGAGGATAGCCACACAGCAATCCCTTCTCTTCCATCTCCTCCTTTCTGGAGTTGTGGACACATACACACCCAGGTGTTTTGCCAGTGTCTGGGTCTGGGACCAGAGCCACATGGGCAGCCCTGTGGCACCCGGCTGCAGTAATGCCCTCCCACTAGCTGGCCCGGGCATCAATCTCTAACCCCTTCCCCTGATCAGCCTGAAGCCGAACTCACCGCCCCTCCCCTCGAGGTTGTCTCTCCCTCTTTCGTGCTGGCCTCCCCAGCATATTCTCTCCTTGGCCACCAGGGAGCTCCCCAGGACTCCAATTTCTGATTTTCAGTTTCCCCCCCTCTCAGGGCGTGCCTTGGGGACTTCGTACATACAGGTCCCTCTGCTCGGCCCTTCCACACCTGTGTCATGCTCAGAGCCCCTGCTGTCAGGGGCCTGTGTCTGCCCCCTTAGCGTGGGGCATCACCACCACAGCGCCCTCTCTCCCGCCCACTCTGATTTGGACAGTGGGCCTGATGGTGGTGCAGTGGTAGAACGGCCCTGCGAGGCTGACCCACCGGGAAGGTTCTGGGTGCACGTCGGGGACCTTTCTGAACAAGCCAGGCGTGTGTGTGCCCGTGGCCCGAGCTGGCCAGGGCCAAGCTGGATCGCAGCGTCAGGACCTGTCGAGGTGGGGCTGGGGGAGCCCGTGGGAGCGGGGAGGCAGTGACCCTGCGTCCCCGGCGCCAGGCCTTTGCCCACCAGACTCTGCGGACGCTGTGCCTGGCCTACAAGGTGGTGGACGAGGACACGTATGAGGAGTGGAGCCTGCGGCACAGGGAAGCCGGCCTCCTGCTGCGGAATCGGGCTCAGTCGCTGCACCAGCTGTACGAGGAGATCGAGCAGGACCTGAAGGTGGGCGGCACACGGGTGCTGCCGGGAGGCCGGGACCCCCACCCCTGCCGGGGCTCAGCCGCTTCCCTGCCTGCCCTAGCTGCTGGGAGTCACGGCCATCGAGGACAGACTGCAGGACGGCGTCCCCGACACCATCAAGTGTCTCAAGAAGGGGAACATCAAAGTGTGGGTGCTCACGGGGGACAAGCAAGGTGGGTGGACAGCCGAGCCCCGCCCGGCACGGACCTCCCCACGGGCCCTGGGTCCAGCCCCGCCTGCCCCACCGTGGCCTTCACGGTGCTCCTGGGAAAGGGGGAGGCCACTCAGGGCGCCACCAGGCCAGGACCACGAGGAAGCGGGGCTCTGGTCACCCTGTGTGATGGGGCACTCACAGGGGATCTGCCGGAGGTCCTCTGGCCATACGGGGAAAGCTGTGACTGGGCCTCCCGTCCTATGACCCTGGAGTGTTGGCTCTCCACCGCGGAGCACGGCCCGCCTGCAGGTCATGGGCCTGCCACGGCCCCCCTGCACACGCCCCGGTATGCACATCCCTACTTTGTATGGCGAGAGGATGCGTATACCCCCACTGGGGTGCGGTCGTGCCGCAGGGCTCTTCCCGACTGCTTCTCCTGCTGCGGCCGGGATTTGAATTGTGGTTGGCCATATGGGGCTCTTTTCCCCAGCCACTAAGCTATGAGCCCCCCCACCCCCGATACTAAAAACGGCATGTTATGCTGATCCAGAGACCGACATCTGGGCTATATTTTATAGTCATTCCCACTTCTCTCAGGGGCAGGTCCCATCCCAAGACCCCCAGTGGGTTCCAAAACTGCAAATGGTAGCAGACTCCAAGCACACAATGCTTTTCAGTCTGGTAACTTGTAAGAGACCAGCAGCCAGGTAACATATATGACGCGGGTGCACCGGGCTGAAGGATGATTCGTGTCCCAGGCAGGGCAAAGCGACATGGTGCAAGACTTCATCACACTATTCAGAAAAGCTAGCAATTTATGTATTTATTTATTAGAGAGATTTTTGCTGGAGAGTGCGTGCACTTGCTGAAGTCCTGCTGCGGAATCGGGCTCAGTCGCTGCACCAGCTGTACGAGGAGATCGAGCAGGACCTGAAGGTGGGCGGCACACGGGTGCTGCCGGGAGGCCGGGACCCCCACCCCTGCCGGGGCTCAGCCGCTTCCCTGCCTGCCCTAGCTGCTGGGAGTCACGGCCATCGAGGACAGACTGCAGGACGGCGTCCCCGACACCATCAAGTGTCTCAAGAAGGGGAACATCAAAGTGTGGGTGCTCACGGGGGACAAGCAAGGTGGGTGGACAGCCGAGCCCCGCCCGGCACGGACCTCCCCACGGGCCCTGGGTCCAGCCCCGCCTGCCCCACCGTGGCCTTCACGGTGCTCCTGGGAAAGGGGGAGGCCACTCAGGGCGCCACCAGGCCAGGACCACGAGGAAGCGGGGCTCTGGTCACCCTGTGTGATGGGGCACTCACAGGGGATCTGCCGGAGGTCCTCTGGCCATACGGGGAAAGCTGTGACTGGGCCTCCCGTCCTATGACCCTGGAGTGTTGGCTCTCCACCGCGGAGCACGGCCCGCCTGCAGGTCATGGGCCTGCCACGGCCCCCCTGCACACGCCCCGGTATGCACATCCCTACTTTGTATGGCGAGAGGATGCGTATACCCCCACTGGGGTGCGGTCGTGCCGCAGGGCTCTTCCCGACTGCTTCTCCTGCTGCGGCCGGGATTTGAATTGTGGTTGGCCATATGGGGCTCTTTTCCCCAGCCACTAAGCTATGAGCCCCCCCACCCCCGATACTAAAAACGGCATGTTATGCTGATCCAGAGACCGACATCTGGGCTATATTTTATAGTCATTCCCACTTCTCTCAGGGGCAGGTCCCATCCCAAGACCCCCAGTGGGTTCCAAAACTGCAAATGGTAGCAGACTCCAAGCACACAATGCTTTTCAGTCTGGTAACTTGTAAGAGACCAGCAGCCAGGTAACATATATGACGCGGGTGCACCGGGCTGAAGGATGATTCGTGTCCCAGGCAGGGCAAAGCGACATGGTGCAAGACTTCATCACACTATTCAGAAAAGCTAGCAATTTATGTATTTATTTATTAGAGAGATTTTTGCTGGAGAGTGCGTGCACTTGCTGAAGGGACAGAGAAAGAAAGCAAGAAATCATCCCCAGACGGAGAGGATGGGGTAGCCAGCCCCCGCAATCCCTGCTCTCTCCCCCGGCCTCGAGATTTGGGGCACCACGCTCTTGTGCTCCACCTGTCTTTCAAGCTGCTGGGTCTGTGGCTCAGACCACAGTCGCCATGTGGAAGTCCAGCGCCTTCACACTACACCGAAGCTAGCAATTTAAAACTCAGGAACGATTTATTCCTGGAATTTCCCATGTCATATTTTTGGGGCGTGGTTGACTGCAAGATAACCGGGAACATACATTGCGTGGGTAAGAAAGGACCGCTGATACTCATTTTCCTCCTCCCGATTTTACAAGAAATTATGACATTTTTGTGAGTTCCTGAAACTATCAAGGGGCCCTAGGTACAACAAGCCCGATAGCACCAGGCGGCAGCTTCACAGCCAGCACAGAGGCAAAGCCACGTCTCGGGGCTGCCTCTCATTGGCCAGCCTAGGTTATGTGTTCTTCTCTGGACCAATCATCACGGCTGGGGGCAGGGCACGCTGCCGCGATTGGTTGGGTAGGCGTGGCTCCAAGCAGGAGCTGCTGACAGACAGTACTGTTCGCAGAGACCGCGGTAAACATTGGCTTTGCCTGCCAGCTGCTGTCAGAGAACATGCTTATCCTGGAGGAGAAGGAGATATCGTAAGTAGTGGCGACGGCGGGATCGGAACGTGCGCGAGTTCGAGCAGGTGTGAAGGCATGCCCCAGGAGCTGTAGGGTGCCCTCCACTCTGCCTGGTCACGCCTGCCTCAACGGCGATAGCAGTAGGGAAGCGGGAGTGCAGAGTGTGGGGAGAAGGGGGGGTGTGCCCCCACCACCTGTATCATTCTGTCCTGTCTGCAGCCGGATTCTGGAGGCTTACTGGGAGAGCAATAACAACGTGTTCACCAAGAAGCGCAGCCTGTGGTTCCTACGGCAGGTCAAGATGGCCATGGTCATCAATGGCGACTTCCTGGTCAGTGTCAGCCCTGGGAAGACGGGGGTCCTGGTAGGCAGGAGGGGTCCAAGAGGAGGAGCAAGCTCAGTGAGCGGCGTGAGCACCCCAGGTGGGCCGAGACTGTGGGGCCTGGGAATGGCCCAGCAGGCGGACCCCAAGGGACTGGAGTAAGGAGAGAACCATCGGGGTCAGAGCAGGCCTGGGCTGGGAGGCGTGGCATTGGCAAGGTGCAGTGACGTTGTCCCCCCTATCCCCCCACCCCTGCCCAGGACCAGCTGCTGCTGTCCTTGCGCAAGGAGCCCCGGGCCCTGGTGCAGAACGTGTGTGCAGATGAGGCGTGGCAGGAGCCCAGCCCGATTAAGAGGGACTTCCTAGGGGCCAGGCGCATCTCCCTAATGTGGCGGGCCATCGGCATGCAGCTGGCCACCGCGCAGTCCAAGGAGTCAAACGTCGGCGAGAGCGCCGAGGTGCGGCGGGAGCGGGCCTTCGTGGACCTGGCCTCCAGGTGCCAGGCGGTCATCTGCTGCCGGGTAACACCCAAGCAGAAGGCACTGGTGGTGGCGCTGGTCAAGAAATACCAGCAAGTGGTAACGCTGGCCATCGGGGATGGCGCCAACGACGTCAACATGATCAAGAGTGGGTGGCGGGCAGCAGGGGGCCAGGGAGGCCTGGGAGCAGAGGGTGGTGGGGCTGGAGGAGTCCTGGGGGAGAGCTTGGAAGCCTGGGAGTGTGGGCGGCAGGCTGGGGGGCCTAGAGGAGTGGGCCGGGAGCCCTGGCAGGGTGGGGAGGAGGGCCGGGAGGTCGGGCAGGGTGGGGAGGAGCCCAGGAGGTCGGGCAGGGGTGGGAGGAGCCCAGGAGGCCTGGGTGCCCCCAGCGGCTGGCCAGCCCTGCGTGTGCCCGCAGCCGCAGACATCGGCGTGGGGCTGGTGGGCCAAGAGGGCATGCAGGCGGTGCAGAGCAGCGACTACGCGCTGGCACAGTTCAGCTTCCTGCGGGAGCTGCTGCTTGTGCACGGACGCTGGTCCTACATGCGGGTCTGCAAGTTCCTGCGCTACTTCGTCTACAAGACGCTGGCCAGCATGATGGCGCAGGGCTGGTTCGCCTGCTACAACGGCTTTTC